CGTCTTCATGGGGACCAATAGGTATGTTCATCGAAGGATGGAGATCGCGAGTTACAGCTGATCCTCAATTCCCTTTCAAGGTATTAATGGAAGAGCTTGTCGGAGTTAGTGCTTGTGTCCTTGGAGACATGGCTTCACGACCGAATTTCGGTTTGAACGAGCTCGATTTCGTCTTCTCAACTCTCGTTGTAGGTTCGATTCTTAATTTCACACTCATGTACCTACTAGCTCCAACTGCAGCAACTGTTGGCGTCTCTCAGAACTTACCTGGAATCTTTAGAAACTGTCCTTCGAGCCATATGTTTGAACAGGGAAGTTTCACCGTTATGAACCGTTTTGGGACTCTTGTGTACAAGGGTTTGGTGTTTGCTACCGTGGGATTAGCTGCAGGTCTTGTTGGAACCGCGATCTCTAACGGGTTGATCACGCTGAGGAAGAAGATGGATCCGAGCTTCGAAACACCGAACAAACCGCCGCCGACTGTGCTGAATTCGTTAACTTGGGCAACGCATATGGGAGTGAGTGCTAATGTGAGGTACCAAACGTTGAATGGTGTTGAGTTCTTGCTTGCAAAAGGATTGCCTCCTCTGGTTTTTAAGACAAGTGTGGTGGTTTTGAGGTGTTTGAACAATGTTGTGGGAGGAATGTCGTTTGTTGTATTGGCGAGGATGACGGGATCACAGTCGGTGGAGGAGGAGGGGACGAAGACTGAGATTTCAGTGAAGGTGGAGGAGAAGGAGGATTGAATCTCATCATGATCTGATGGAGTTTTTTTGCCTCTCTGTTTTCCGTTGTTCATAGGCATCTCTATCTATCTTGAGTTGAAACCTTTTTTCTGCAGATCTCTGTTTCTTGCAAAAGAATAAGACTTTTAGTTCTAGTACTAGTATGTTGGAATAAATAAGACAAATCCCTTTTTAGGTTCATCTTGGTTGTCATTGTTAGGGCCAATTCTACTTCCAAGTTTGTTGTTTTGTTTATCAACATTACCAAGAAACTAAATTCAATTAAATAGTTTCAAGTTCCGAACAATGATTGAATGGTTTAGTTATTGGACATGTAAACTTCTTTCTGTTGGAAGCCCTAAGTTCGGTTATTCTCAATGAATATCAAAGATAAGGAAGGTGTAAGCGAGCGAAAGATTGATTAATTTGAACCTAATCCCAAAATGCAAAAGTAACATAGACAAGTGTCTTAAATTATAAGTCTATCCAAAGATTGATTAATTTGAACCTAATCGTGTTAATGGCGAAAAAAAAAGCAAAAAGCCTGATCATCACCTTCACATGATTTTTGTTTTAGAGTTGAAGCCAGAGGGAAAGGTATTTTGCAACAAAACCAGATCATTGCTGAATTCGAGACTTTGCCTGAAGAAACCCAGAACAAGTTTGAAGGTGGTGCCTTCGACCTTCTCAAATCCACTCAGGTACATTTCAACACAAATTTCAAATTTCAAAATCATTTCCGAGTGAAAGTTTTGCTCGTTTTGGTTTCATAAGGGGTAAAAAGAGAACCCATCTTTACATAAATTTCAACTTTTCAAATGGGTTAATCATTTACAAGTGAAAGTTTTCATCTTTTCTTGTTTCAAAAATGGGTAAAAAGAGGAAGCAATCGTGTTGAAATGGGTACAATTTAAAACTCCCCCACTTAATCATACAAGTGAAACTTGTGATCTTTAAAAGAAAAAAGTCATGATCTTTTTGGGTTTAACATGTGTAAAATACAGGAAGCAATTGTGATGCCAGTTGCCACCATGGGTTGCTCTTGCTGTGAGGCCAAGGCCTGGTGTTCGGGAATATCTAAGAGGGAGTCAATCTCCATGCTCTTCTAATTGAGGACCTTCAACCTGCTGAGTATCTTCATTTCAAGGAAGAACTCGTTGATAGAGTGTGGTGTTGAGTTCCTTCCATGACAAGGAGAGTTTGCTTCCGTTTCTTAGGTTCCTTCAGCGACAGCCACAAGGTAAAGGTAACTGGTAAATGCATTCTCTCATCCTTGGAGCCTTCTTTAAACCCATTTTGGTATAAAAAGAATGAACCTTTGTCGGTATCTTTACTGTTTCTTTGAGTCATATAGGCTCAGGCTGTTCCTCTTGCTCAGGAGGATTGAAGAGGAGACAAAAGACTCGGAACCATAATAGAGCTTCAAGAGAGAGGTTCCGGTGTTTGAAGAATAAAAAGAAATCTCTTATTTATCTTTCGGATAGAGGAGCA